AACCAAAGAAGCCATCAAGGCCTTTGGAACATTTTTGGAGGGGAGAATCTATCAGTTGGAAATGAGGCTGTTAGATGTTGAAGGGAAAATTGTCCACATTTGCACTGGTAGGACAATGATGAGATCCACTATCAATCACCTCGTTGCAGTAATCAGTGATATACTGAAGCTGGCTGAGAAACAACTCCCTAAAGCTGAAATAAGAAGATTGAGATATCAGCTCAGAAGGAGACCACTTACGCAAGAGGAAATAGATGCTGCTAAAGAAGCTGAGGGTGCTCAGAAGGATACCACCTTGGACAAGAGACGTCCCCAGTGAAAAGGAGAAAACCCTCCTAATTGTTTAAATTTTAGTTTAAATTTTAGTATGTTGAATTTATTTCCTTTTCCATTCCTTTGTAAATATTCTCTTTTTGAAATGAAAAATCTTTTTGTTCAAACTGCTTGGTATATACATTTCAGTTATAATATTATGGCTGTACAATTTTGAATAGCCAATAGCATGAAACACAAAGTCGGTGATTAATCATTCTTGTTCTTTCTCTGAATGCTTGAAATAGGAAAAGTAAAGAGAATTTAATCTTCATATTTTTGCGGGATGCTGATCTGTGTGAACTAATGCTGGTAAGGAACAAAAAAAAAGACCAAATACTTATTCATGAGAAAGTTCTTGAGGTGTAACCACAATGAAACTTCTACACTTGCCTTGATGCTGTAAGTACTGCTGAAGAACAGATGGATTTCACTAACAAGGATCAACCAACCAAACACTCACTTCTTTTCATTCAAACAAACACTTCCATTCCATTCATAGTCACCAACACATCACCAGGTCAACCAAAAAGGGCAAGGAACAGATCCAAAATGAACAAAAAGGGACAGAAGAAGGAAAATAAAGACAAACGGGAACATCCATTCAAAAGAATTCAGAAGAAAATACTAGAAAACTTTCCTTCAAGAAAAAAAAAGGGTACAAAAAGAAAATGCGTTCCCTCAAACAGAAAAAGTCCAGTTCAAAAGCACAAAAATGAACCTTCCTTGACCCCATGATCAAGACCATTATTCTTCCACACCTCCATAAACCATTACTATCAAAGATCCTTGGAAGGGAAGACATCTACACTTCATAGGAAAGCAGCAGAAAAGCAAGTTCTGAAGAATCACATCCAGGAATGGACAGAGAAAACACCAAACCCTGAGTGATAGTGAGACAGAAGATCAGCAACCTTCACTTACCTTGGAACAAATTCTTTTTACTTGTTACCCATGGAAAGTAGTTCATTTTTTGAAAAGATTATGATTGCTCACTGGCTCAAGTTTTTCTGTTGAGCTATTCATTGAAATTGTGCAGTCTAAACCATTATTTCTGAGTTGTTTGAGGACAACCAACAGTTTAGTTTTGGGGTGTTTGATGGGACGTAAATTCGTTCCCATCTAAGCCCATTTTGATGACAAAATATCATCCGTTCCCTCATCTGATGAGCAACTTCAGCATGAAAATCACTTGTTTACAACTTTGTAACAAAAACACAGTGGGGGAACGGATGATGACGTAATCCTTTGGAAACATATTAAAAGGAGAACAGATTGAGAGCAATTAATGCACCTTCTCCACTCATTTAATGCCTCTGTTCCCTTTGCAGAAAACGTGGAAACAAAGCTTCCATAAAACAGAGGTTGTGCATCAATTAAGCACAAAGAAACGTGTACAACAGGGAATAAAGAGTTCTCATTGGCTGGGAAGAAAGCAAGACATAGGGGACTGAAAGAAAACGACAAATCTCAACAATAACTGTCTTATCCAACAAGGTGCAAGCTTCCAAACACTATTGCCACTGCCCCGTCCCTACAGTCAAGAAACCAACGCCAAGGGATTTTACAAGATTTTCATTCACTCTTCTGCCTATAAATAGGACGTCCTAAACACGAAGACATCATCGAATTCCTAAGGGATTAAATTCCTTAAGAAGAGATCACTTAGTATTATTTAGTTTGTAGTTTAATTTTGTATAGTTGTAGCTATAGTTAAGTGACAACACTTCTCTTTTATTCTGTATCATCCCCTTAAGACTCCTCACGAGCATCACCCACTTCTCCACTTTATATTTTGTTGTAATCTTTCTTGTTTCATTTCAATATAAGTGTTTCTTCTTTCCTTTTCACTCGTTATCCCTGAACTGAATCTCGGGTCTATGGGACTTCAGTTTAGAATAATTATGTTTAAAGTAACAGCCATGGGCTGAAGTATATGTGGACCGGATAAGCTGCAAAACTCTTAAAGAATTATTTTCAAAACTCTTGTACTGAAGCTTTTTGTATTTCTCTGGCTAAGTAAGCTATATTCATTGTGTATCAATGGAAATTAAACACATACTGAGAAAGGAACTTCCTTAAGGAAGGGATTTCAGATAGCTTAGCCATTGGGGGAAGGTAGTGTCATGGCAAAAACACTATTAGTAACCTTAGGAATAAGGGGCCACTTCGTCCATTTTAAGGTTGAGTACCAAGTACCTGTTGGAGTCAAGGGAGCCATAGGAATATGGAAACTTGTGAGTCATCTAGTCCATGAGCTGAGGAATCAGAGTTGGCAGTTAAGAAACTGGGACAAAGCCAAAAAGTGCTAAGTCTTGAGCAGAGAAAATAATTATTTGAGAATGGAGCAGTAAAAGTAAATTTGTTCCTTGTGTTAAAAACTATTTTTAAACCATCTACCCTGTTGTCTCTTGGTTATAGTTATTACTATTTTATTTTTCATTTGTTCAATCTTGTATCTATCAATCTCCAATGACTATTGTCGTACCTTCTCTCAACAAGAAAGATCACATATATAACGACGCGAGGAGTTGTTTGCCATCAGACTGAACTTACTGTTCTTGAGGAACGTTGTCAAGACAGTAGGGAACGTTTGACCAGACAGTTCAATCACTAACTTTTCTTTTTTATTTTTATTCTTTATAAAATAGTCTAAGACATTATTTAGAGTTCTATCCTCGTGGGAACGATAATCTGGGCATTAATACACCCATTAATACTTGATGCGTGCACTTGCGCACTTGGGTTGGGAGTAAGGGAACAACTCTGTTTTCTATTGCTAATTTAGAATAGAGGAATGTCCTTCATCATCAAATATATTTTTCCACCATCAGCAAACCACCCAACAGCAATACAGGTCTAACATTTTCATCATCATCACTTGAAGGAGGAATCCTTAATTCCTCAAAAAGATAGGTATATCTTTCTTCTTCAAATGACATTAGGTCTTGCTCTTCATCAACTTCTTCAGATTCAAAGTCTTCATTGCTGCCATCCTTCTTGTATGCCTTCTTCCTTGGGGTTTATTTTCCAGGCCTTTTTCTCCCCACCAATGGTACAGTCTGTTCATCCTCATCATCTGAATGATCCTCAACACCTGGAGGAAGGCTTGTATGCCTCATCCTCTGCACTCTCATATGAATATGAATCTGAGGAAGCAACCTCATCATATGCATTGTCATGTTCGGATGAATTACCACCATCCTCTGCACTCTCTTGCTCATGATTCACCCCATCACCATGTGAAATCTCCTGATCCGAATTAATCCCATGATCATGTGAAATCTCATGATCCGAATTCACCTCATCATCATCCTGTGCATGGTGCTCATTATATGTGGAATTAACCATATTATCCTCTGCACTGTCATGTTCAGGTGAACCAAACTGAGGAATTGAAATGCAGTCTTCAAAATATACATGTATCTCATTGCCATTACCTAAAGCAGCCTCACACATGGCACATACATCAGAATCGATACTAAGTGGTCTGAGGCCTTGTTCCAAATCGGGTTCACCAGGCTTTAACCACATCTTCTTTTTGCATTTTTCATACCCAAATTCCTTAAACAGAGTGTCAAGGTCACGCAAATTATAGTAATCAATATGTATCTCAGGCAGTGAGTCCACTCTCTCATTTACACAGGTCAGCACTCCATCTTCATCTCTTATTAAAACACCACCATGATGATAAACAATCACTATATATTCAGACATTTGTACAAAAAAAAAAGGTAGCTTTCATTAATCCAATGACTACTTCAAAAATGGGTACTTACTCATAAAACAAAGGCAAGACATGTGGACTACTTAAACAATACAAACCAATAAACAAACAGACAAATGGAACATGTGATTTTTTTCAACAATTTGCATGTGTTTTTTAATTGTTCATGGGTTAACCATGGACCACACCACATTGTTTACTCTAAACCCTAAAGTGAAACATGGATCACATTGTCCACTGAGCATGCAGAAAAGAAACACGCATTAAACAACAAAAACTCCATAGGGATCACAAACAACAAATAACAACTACAATAAAAAGTGTTCCAAAATAGATTACTTTGTTACCTTTTTTGTACGGAACGATGAGCCTCGCACCAAAACAAAGGTATTTCTTCCTCCACTTCCCTCCGATTGTTGAACCACTGTTGAATCAAAACGCAGGGAAATGTTGACAAAATGATCTTCTTCCTTCTCAATAATGGAGCGTCGAACTTTCAATAGTGGGAATGGTAAAGTGAACAACGGTTAGGTGAGGGGCAGTTTTGGGTTTCTTCAAATGATTCTGAGCAATGTGGAAGCAAGTTTCTCCAGACGACGTTGTTTCCCCTCCAACGTGGCAGTGAGCATGCCCATTAACGTTACACATCAGCTCCGTCAATGACGCTGTCTGTTTGGGACTAACAGAAAGACTAACCTAACGTGGAACCTATTTGTCTTTGTTGGGGGACTTGCCAGCTAATTTATTTTTGTTAGAGACTAAAATGGATATCGAGTTTTTTTGTTAGAGACCAATTTAAGTATTTACTCTAGTTTTAAATTTAAACTGATTCTAAACTTGAACCGGGTTCACCAAAATAAAATTAATTAATTAAAAAAATAAATCGGTTTTATCTAAAATAAATAAATAAATTGAATCATATTTTTGGTTCGATCCGACTCGGTTCAATTTTTCATGCTAAACCACACCATGCCTACGTCTAGAATAACCCGTGTGAGCTCTGATGAAGTCGTTGAAAAGAAAAATCTCATTCCGGAACGGACAATTGATTGAATCCACAGCGATCTGGGCCGCCGCATTGGCTATCGGCGACGACGAAGTAATATTGATCCATCAGTCCCAAGCAAAACCTCGTGAACTGTTGCAATCAAATTTCAGGTCAAGTTTTGAAGCTGATTTCATACTATTTTATTTTTCTTCTTAATTTCTTCGTATAAATTAATTGGACTTTGTCTCGGTGGAGTTCGATAATTGTTTGGAAAAGGCGCTTGCTTATATATTCGAATCACTTTGTTCCGAATTTTAATATCGTTTGAATTTCGTAAAAAATTGGCATCATAGTGACTTTTGGCTGTTCAGGTTCTCTGTTTCCTGCATGAATGCGTGACATATTAATTTAAAAAGAAGTTTCGTATTTGCTTCAAGATTTGAACAGCTCGTTTTGAAGTGTTTATGTGTTGAGTTAACAATTTTTTTGACAACTAATCACTGTCTACGCACTGTGGCTTTATGAGACCGTGAATTAATTTCTTGTTCACTTAAACTTTATCTTGTGCTCTTCAATGTCCTATTTAGTGAGGAGGATAACAGAAATACAGAATGGTTTAGTATAATAGGTTGGTTTGCTTTATTCTGGAATAGCGTATGAATATAAAGAAGCACGTTTCCTAGTTGAGGGCACTGTGGTTGGTTTGTGAAATTCTTTCTTTTGATTGAATTAATAACTTTTTGGAAGATGGTGTACTTGTGCATACTGTTCTCTGGCTGAATTGAAGTTACATCTCTGCGTTGCATTACATACACTTAGCATGGCTTTGGATTTGCTTAAATTGTAGGAATGGATCACTTTCTTTTAAAAAGCTCTCTCAATTATAATTTGATTATAAGTTGTTTTGAACACAAAAGTAAGTTAATACAAATGCGTACTTGATTTGGAAATCGTTATTATGTTTAAATATTTTCTGATTTTAATTTTTCTCTTCTTGCTGTCTGCCGGTCATTGTTGATGTTCAAATTGTTGTTTAGTTACTTCCCACAGCCGTGATCTGTGTGCTTCACATCTAACATATTTAGATTAATCCTTGATATTAGACAGATTTCAATTTGAAGACATTTTCATTTGATATTAATTTGTGCGTTTGAAACGATAACTTTTGTTACAGTGCTTGCCAGAGAAACTTGACTGCCATCAGTTTACATGGGAGACACGGTGGATTATTCTGACTTGAGCAAGAACCCTAAACCTGGCAGTGTCATGACTGGGAAAAAAGCATACAGATGTTCGCTAATTGCATCTCGCCCTAAATGTTTTGCAAAGAGAAACCATGAACGCCTTGTTTCACTGATCCATGGCGGCTTTGGAAGTAGTTCTGTGGGTCGTTTCACATTTTTTTTACTTAAAGTTGCTGCTTTAGAGATCCTAAGGAGGTTCTCCAAAAGAAGATGTCCATCTGTATGGCGAGGCCTTCAGGCTCTACAAATCCTTTGTTATCCGCCTTTTCAATGGATCCAGAGATGGGCACCCTTCAAGGGTTTGGTTAAAAGCATGCAGGTTTGCAGTCTAAATTTCGGAATTTTTCATCAATAATATATTTGAATGACATTTTAAAGCACAATGTTTCTAGTAAATCATTTTCATGTATCTCTTCATGTATCAAGGACATATACTATTGAGCTATTCTGTTCATAATCTCTTACATATCCTTTTACAATTTTTTTAAGGGGAAAAACAGAGAGAGAGAGAGAGAGAGAAATTTCTCTCTCCCTTTTTCCTATTAATTGAAGGTGTAAAGGGAAATATTGAAGATTTTGATGTATACCATATGATACTTCCCCAGCCCCTTTTTACCATTGTAGTTGAGGATCAAATTGGTTAAAGATTTATTTCTTTGATGTTTGTGCTAGGTCTTTTCTGTCTTTTCTTCTCTCTAATATCCCAAGTTTAGATATTCATGACAGCAGATAGCTAATAAATCTTTCTGCTGTCAGGTCCTATCAAGACCGTTGCTAGCCCTTACAATTGGAACAGTTTTTTGTGATCAATCAGAAGGTAGTGATGGAACGTCAGATTGTATTACTGATTCACACAATTCAGTAGCAAACTTGGAACTATCTCCTGTACAGACTGATATGAATACAAGGTATCTAAAGGCTCTGAATCTTGATGCTAATTTTATGTGCGTGCTTAGTTAATTCACTTTCTAATTCATAATAGACGGTTTCTGTATGATCTAAAAATAGCATCATAAAACTACATTTTTCAACCATAGAAAAGTAGAAAATGTAGACTACCATGATGCCATTTGCAGGATTTTAGAATCTATATTAAAATTCCTTTTGATTTCTTTTATGCTTGGAAATATTGTCTCAAACATGAATATTTTACCCAATTCATTGTTCCGTGAATTCTGTCATCTCTTATAATTCACTAATTCAGTAATAATGTCAATCTTGAGTTCAAGATTTAGATTTTTATCGTCATAACTAGAGTTACCACTTGTTAGCGGTCTCTCATGTTTCTCCAAAAGTAATGTAGCAATTAGGATACGTATATTCGTTGGGCCAAGAATGTGAAGAACTGGTTCCATATCAACCTTGGTCTTTCCATGTATGTATATGTGATACATATAGATCCCAAAATTAATTTTTGCATTTCTGACTAAAGCATCTGGTGAGTAAAGGGCTGCTAGGTTCTTAGAGATTAATTTTAGGATTTTTATATCCTGATTATCTAGATCTACTTGCAAGCTTCTTACTTGTATTTTTCATGCATTTTGCAGTCAGTGTTTGACAGATCCTAAAATTTTAGAATCTGAAAACTGGTTGACTCAACTCAATCAAGAGCTTGAAAATCAGGGGATTCGTTTGCCAGAAAGGTATTTTATGGTTGCCTTGTCACAACAAATAATCCTATTTATGTGCATAATTGTGCCATTCCAATAAAATATCATGACATGATACTCTCGAACTTTCCCTTTCAAAATAGGCTACTGGATACTCATGCAGGTAAGTCATAAATTTACCACTTTTTAGTGGAAATGAGAAACTCAAAACATTAATAATATTTTGTCAAGTAAAATTTGAATTAATCACTTTGGATATTTATCACCAACTTCCAAAATCTGAACCTAAGCAACAGTATAGTATTAGACTATTAGATAACTGAACTATATATAATTTGAATATCATCTTTATACCACTTGTTTCTTGTATTCTCATAGTGACTTTATAGTGTGTTTCTTGAAGCAAGTTTTGAAATCCTGGCCAGGAGTTGCCTTGTTAGTTAGCAATAGCATATTTACTAGCATATTTCTTGGTTTCTCCTGGTTCAGCGGACCATGATTTAGAAGTGTTTATGCAGAATCAATGATGATGAGCTTCGTAGATTTTACACAGCTTCTAATAATGACTTTTCATGCTTACTTACCTCAATCAAGAAGACCATACACTGGCGAGAGACTTACAGAATTCTTTCAGAAGAAGAGCTGACAATGTGGTCAAAAATGGTGTTCTGGCATGGGTATGATGTGAGGCACAGACCTTGTCTCATTGTACGGCTTGGACTAGCTTGCAATACATTGACATCTGAAGATAGACCTCGATTTGCTCAGGCAGTCAGTATGTTTTCCTTTTGTGCATGCAGCACTTCTTTTTCTAATCATCCCCCCCCCCCCCCCCCCCCCCCCCCCCACACACACACACACACACACACACACACCCACCCACACACCCACAACACACACACACACACCAAAAAAAAAAAAGGTCCCCATGTTTGCTTTATTTCGTGAGTTGAGACAATACTTTCCCTCGTCCTTTCATTTCTTACTCCCTTCTCTCTGAAGAACATTCGTAAGTTTGGTTTTCTTGGTGCCTTACATTTTATGCGGTAGTTTTATGCATTCAATGGCTGTTATTTCAGTATCACAGGTAGATTATGGAGTCTTGTACTTGGTTGATGAAGACAACCCTCAAATTACAGTGTTGGTGGATTGTGAAGGGTTGTCTCCTTTGAAAATTCCCATGCAAATGATGAGATCTTGTGCTTCCCTTCTGCAAGACCACTTTCCTAATCATCTTGGTTGTTTGTTTGTCATACGACTGCCAGCAGCTGTTCATGTTATTGCTCAGACTTTTATTGAGGTGAGCTCTCCTATCTGCTTATTCAGCCTAAAATGACTAAGATAGTAGCAAGAGAAAGGTGATTCAGGTTGGTGATCATGAAATATATAGATATTAAATGAATTGTTTGATTAAATGCAATTTTGCTTATCTGTGTAACACACCAACCTAGATAATTATAGCCTATGCAGCTTTTTATCTGTTGCATTGGATACAGTATAACATGTAAAATGCGCTTTACTAAATGAACTAATCTTTGCATTTGAGTTAGGTTTTGAAGCCCGCTACTAGGAACAAGATGAAAATAGAAGGAGAGATGTATCAGAAGGTTCTTTCTGACTATCTGCCGACACTGCCATCATATCTTGGAGGCTGCTGCACGTGCATAATATGCTCTGAAATTGGCGAGTGGGATATGCCACAACCTTATGCAACTTGGACCAGCAGGAGAGATGGGGAAGGTGATATCAGTGACAATGACGTTTCTCCGTCATTGCATCCTACCGATGAATTAGAAGGCCGCTTATGTGGCAATTATGACCAGTTGTTGAGAACTGCTATCGTAGGTATTCTCATATTTTGGGTTTTAATAGCTCTTGGTGCTGTAATATTTGATCCCGGTAGTCGTTATTTGCCCTCATAATGCAAGACTGGCCAAATTAGTTTATATCCCTGTAGGAGTAAATCTTTCTAGGAGGTGACATTATCCAATTCCAAACAGTAGCCCACACTGTTGCAGATTCTTGAGATGAATGAAAGATCTCTAGTTATCGCTTGCGCAATGTATATTTATATAGAGGAATGATCACTTACACCGGTTTACTTATAACAAGACTTACATTCAACGTTAATCTACTTGCATCTTGTGGTGTGAACCGTTAGATGCAATTGAAATTAATGATTATGATTGAGAGTGAAATTAACAATATGATTGAGAGTGTAATTATATATATATATATATATATATATATATATATATATATATAGAGAGAGAGAGAGAGAGAGAGAGAGAGAGAGAGAGATATATATATATATATATATATATATATATATAGAGAGAGAGAGAGAGAGAGAGAGAGAGAGAGAGAGAGGGAGAGGTGAATGATCCACTTATACTGGTTTACAAATAACAAGACTTGCATTCAACGTTAATCTACTTGCATGCTAAACTCGGTGGTTCACTTACTGCTCCCGAATCCAACGTAAAACACACAACCCATTTTCTCCAATCCCTTCATACCATTCCAACAACTCACCAAGATTTACCCATCTTTTTCTTCTTATTTTGCGCCAATCTCCTTCACAAAAAAACAATGACCGAAGCTCCAACTTGTGTTCCAGACCGGCCGGTTCAGAAAAATGAAAAGGGTAAAGAAAAGTGGGCTAATTGGGCCACAACATTGAGAGGTCCAAATCTTATGCCAGCAATAAAGTTCTCTCTCTCATTGGGCCTTGCAGTGTTCGTGGGCTTAATATATAGCAAAGAAAATGGGTTCTAGTCTGGGCTCTCTGTGGCAGTGAGCTTTGTTTCGGGGAGGGAAGCCACATTTAAAGCAGCAAATATTAAAGCCCAAGGAACTGTGTTAGGAACTGTGTATGGAGTGTTGGTCTTCGTATTTGAGATTGAGAGGTTCTTATCAATTAGATTCTTGTCACTCCTTCCATGGTTCATTTTCACAAGCTTCCTTCAGCGAAGCCGAATGTATGGCCCAGCTGGTGGCATCTCTGCAGTGATTGGTGCCATTCTAATTCTAGGTAGAAAAAACTTTGGCCCACCAAGTGAGTTTGCTATTTCAAGAATCACCGAAACCTTCATTGGGCTCTCATGTTCTATTTTTGTGGATCTTATCTTCATGCTCAAAAGAGCTTCTACATGTGCCAAAACAGAACTCTCTCAAAGCCTGGCCACACTTGCTGAGTCCATTGGGTCGTTGAGTCTACTTGCGAACATTAACAAAACCGATTTGGAAGATAACCAAAAGAGGTTGAAAATACAAGTTAATGTGCTAAGGAAACTGAGCGACTTCATCCTACAAATATAAACTTGCTTTTATATATGTTGGTGGATGAGATGACCTTCATTGCTAGTTTTAGAATTTAAGTGATGAAATATTTGAACGAATAAAAAATCTAAACAACTCTACTTATTCAAGAGAATATTTTTTAGCAGCATTTCACCCGTAGCAACTAAAAAAGTCTGACCGTATAACTTTGTTTAGTATGTGAAATTATGTTAGTTTCATTGCATTTATCATTTCACTGATAATTTTAGAAAAAAAATTATTTTTACATTTTTATATTTAATTTATTTATAAAATAGAAATAAATGCATATTAAAAGTTTATTTATTTTTTAAATAGAAATATAATATAACCCACTCAAAATATTATAAGTCATGTACCGTTTCTCGGACATTTTACGAAATAGTTAAAAATTAATTTACTTAAAAAATATTTTATAAAACTAGATGAAGTGATTTTTGTTCACATAAGCAAAATGCTATTATATTGGGGCTTATATAAAAAAAAGTATGTTTAATGCCAATGCCAAGCGTATCTCTGGTCCATGCGGGCATATTTTTTATTTTAAAAAAATTTATATATTTATATATTTTTAGGGGGGAAAAGTATTTAATGTTACTTTAGATAACTCTGTCTAATGTTCATTGAAACAACATCGTTTTGGGTTGAAAAATAAAAAAAATTAAAATGATAAAGACTATTATAACCCTGAAATAAATTAAAATTACAAAAATACTATGATTTCCTCTCCAAAACGACGTCGTTTCAGTGAACATTAGATAAAGTTATCTACAGTAACTTTAGAAAAAATAAACCTAATTTTTAGATAAATTATTTTTTTTTTTTTTGATAACAATAAATTATTCTTTTCGTTAAATCGGAAAGGGCAAAGTATTTGTTCACGGCTATTTTAGTTAAAATTATTATGTTTAAATTAAAAAAATCTCTAATTTTCTTTATCATAATTTCTATTTCTCTCATCATAAAACATAATAATTTTAATTAAAAGGACACAATTTTATGTTCTTTAAAAAGTATAAACACTGTTTACCAAAAAAAAATATAAACACTAATCGAAGTGTGCTAAAGTAGGGGAATTATATTAAAATTTTACATGACATATATGATCCAGTTATTATTAATATAAAAAAAGATAAATACAAAAATTTTATACTAATAAGTCATACGAAATTTTAGCATAAAAACATCCAATCCAACCAAAGTACCCATTATTTTCCACACTGGCAGCACCGAACTAGGGAAGTGAGATTATGATACCCAGGGAATCGCGGTTGAAAATAATATATTCTATAGAGAAATTATGTAAAGGGCGCTTATACTTATTATTATATTAGACTTTGTTTTTTGGTAAATTATTATTTTAGGCTTATTACAATTTGACTGATTATCATAAGATTAATTTGAAATCAATAGTTAAAAAATAAAATAAAAAATTAATTATCATTGATTTCAAATTCATTCAATAGTAACTAATCAGGTAATAAAATTAAAATGGCTAACTTTTTTTGTTTTAAAAAAAGGTATAACCTTTTCTTGTGATGATTTTGTTATCGTTAAATTAAAATTAAATTAATGGCTCTTAATTATTATTATTTTGTTTTGATAAACATTAATCTTCATTTATTATCGTTGATTTGATATTAATCTATAATAGAAATAACAACTGTTGTAAAATCCGGCCCGATCGACCTAGAATCCGGTGAACCGGTCATCAGACCGGTTCTGGTTAAGCATTGGACTGGTCATGCATCGACCCGGTCAAAACTCGGACAAACCCGGTGATCCGGTCGGATAATGTATTTAAAAAAAAAATCAAAATTATTTCATCTTATAAAAAAAATATAACATTTAAAAAAAAAAATTGTAATTTATTTGTTAGTATACTCTTCTACAATGACCTCTTAGTTTCCAATACTGAAGCAATTTGTGGAATAATAAATTAGAGAATGTTACATATGTCATTTTAATGTAGTTAAATTTGAAAAATATGAGTTCAATGTCATTGAGAGGTATGTTTATAAAAATTCTGAGTTGCAATCTAAATTGACATAGTAATAGTATGCACTTTTATTTATTTATGCTTCATGTTTTTTAGTTTATTTAGTGAACCTTGTTTAATTCATTTTAGATATAAAGAATATAATTGAATTTATATGTTCATATTTATATATATATTTTTATATCTATATATATTCGGGTCAACTGATCAGACCAGTGACCCATCGATCCGACCAGTTACTCAGTATCCTGACCGGCGTCGGGTTTAACCCCACTGGAAATAACCGTAAGAAATGGTAACGAAAAAAAAAAAGTAAAAAGAAAAAGAGGCGGTAAATTTTCTTTATTTCATAGTAAGATATTGAAACTAAATTAATTAAATGAAATTTTGAAGAGCAGTGCCAGTTAATTTCAGAAGTGTAGAGATCTAGATTCAGGAAGTGAGCACAGAGAGACACAACTCACAAGTCATCGTCACTCATGTTTCGTGTCATCCAACCTACACAATAAAGAGAAAGACACGGATATACGACATCGCATGCAATATCCAAAACTTAAGTTCACAATCTTAGTGCGCTTTACATCCTTAACCTTGTTCTCAACTCCTCACACCTCAGATCAGATCCCTAAAATATTTATCCTCAAATCCCTTTTTACTATTATATATTTCTGCACCCAATAGGTAATCAACTCTTCCGTAGCCATTAAGTTGAAGTTTCAGTTTTTTTATTTTTTTTTTTAATTTTTTTTTTTTGGTTTGTTATTATTATTATTATTGGAAGTTTGGTATGATTCCTCCTTTATGGTGTGCTTGTTGTTAACGTGAACCTTTCATGATGCTATGCAATTCAACTTTCCGTTAATTTGAAGTCTCCTGGCCTAAAAGTCAATAATTTGTTGTTTTATGGTTTGATTAACTATGTTTTGTATTGAATTTGGTTTTTTTTTTTTTAATTATAATTTAGCGTTTGGTGGGGGAAGTTTCAATTTTTAGATTTTTCTTTTTTCTTCTTTCTATAAATTGGTTCTCTGATCACAGATCGTTTGTGCTACAACTGTGATTAAGGATTTTGGATTGGTCTTTGGTTAAGTTTCACTTTCAGGTCTCTGCTCTGTAAACATTACATTCGAAGCCGTATGAGTTTATTTATAACATTTTGGTAACTAGTCTATTGTATGTATAAGAATTGACTGTTTGGAAATTGGTTCAGGAATTGAATTTCAGAGATTTTTTTGACAATGGCAACGAATTCTTCTAATGGAGAGCACCAAACAACAACAAAGCAACCTCCCCTGCCATCTCCTTTGCGATTTTCCAAGTTCTTTCAGGTGAATTGTAGGGTAGCATTTTTGTTCCACGGTGTCATTCTGATTGTTGCATTTTTTTGTGTTTCTTGGATCTTGTTATGCGAATTTCATGTTAATCTTGTTGTTGTCATGTTTTTTTGCCTTTTGGTGCATTGTTTGGTTTTGATTAAATTTGATTATGACCTGTTAAAACTATTAAAACATAAATTCGTTTACCGGAAGATGACTTACTGGTGCTTGTGAGCTTCCCCTTTTCAATCCATGATGATTATTTATATATATGTGATATTGATTTGTAATCATTTTATGAAATTATATGGTAATTCAGTTAATTTATTTTCACTGGGAACATGTGTAAAAACTAAATTCAGATATCTCAAAATGTGGACTAGCAAGCTGGTTGGATATTCTAGTTATTTGGATTTTATGGTTGAAATATTGCACTTGTCAAAACATACTTTGTGATTGCAAGCTCAATGTTTCAGCTTATGAATAAGAGACTAGGCAGAAAGTCAGTAATAAGTTGGATTTTTTTTTATATATATATATTTTTAAGGTAAGAACATGAAAGTAGTTTTCCTTCAGACTTACTAACCTGATCTGTTGGTAAATTAAATAATTTACCTTTTTCTCTACCATATTTCTCTTTACCTATTCTCCTGTGCTACCCTGGTTCTGAATTCAGATGTGTGCATGTGAGATATGTGCATATAACATCATATTACATCTCATGAGTAAGTAGTCTGTGATTACCAGAACAATGTTCTGGCCAGATCACATGTCATTACATGAGTGACTTTTTTATTCTTGAATTCTTATTTGATCAATATTTCTTTCATTCTTGACAACAGTCCAATATGAGAATTTTGGTCACTGGAGGAGCTGGATTTATTGGCTCTCACCTAGTTGACAGGCTGATGGAAAATGAAAAAAACGAGGTTTGCATGGCTGATATCTTTATGTGTATATAGTATTCAGGTTTATTAGCGATTCAACAGGTTTGATAAAATTTTGGTACAACATGACAATATGTTTGTCTACTCAGGTAATTGTTGCTGATAACTTCTTTACTGGATCTAAAGACAACCTTAGAAAATGGATTGGTCATCCAAGATTTGAGTTAATTCGTCATGGTATAATTTCATCATTTTCTCTTTTACAATCATTGGCAGCTTGACTCTGTTTCATATAAGATACAATTGAGGTTAAGATTTTTGACCTATGCTCATACTTTGCAATGTGTTTGGTGTCTTAAATCTAGCTTGTGAGTGGTCTTAAAGACTATGAAGGACCATGCGACAGAAGATTGCTGGTTATGAAATAATATATTAGACTGACCGATATATCAATTTTTTATTAATCAATCACCATTGTAAATCAGCTGGCCCTTTGATATTGTACTCAACATGAATTATGCTTTGGCCATGAGCACCGAGATTTATGTTTCATGATGTCTTTGAATTTTTATTTTTTATAAATTATGGTCTTTAACATTCATTCCTTTTTTCTTCTCCCGAGTAGATGTCACAGAGCAACTGTTGGTTGAGGTTGATCAGATCTACCATCTTGCATGCCCTGCTTCTCCGATTTTCTACAAATACAATCCTGTAAAGGTGGGCTTTTTAGAGTCTGCATTTGTATTATCTATGATTTACTACAAGCATACCATGTACACATGCTTGTTCATTTGCTGATTGTTCTATCTGTCTAGTGAACCTTAACAAATTATCTAACATTTAAAGGAATAACTTTACAGACAATAAAGACAAATGTAATTGGAACATTGAACATGCTTGGGCTTGCAAAGCGGGTGGGAGCAAGGTTGGGACTTTTTCTTTAAAAAAAATCCTGTTGTTGATAACCTAAACTTCTAGCATCAATTGATCTTACCAAGTTGTAATTTTGACAGGATTTTACTTACATCTACTTCAGAAGTATATGGGGACCCTCTTGTGCATCCACAACCAGAAAGCTATTGGGGCAATGTTAACCCTATTGGTATGTACTTATCCTCAATCCAAACTTGTGTATCTATAGCATGTTAAACTGGAAGAAGTCTAATTAGTGGATTTAACCTCATCATTTAGTTTTTGTGCTTCAAAGTAGTTAGTAATTTGTCATTTTGAATGGACCAACATCAACATGTATTTTCAACTACATACAGAGCTAAAAGTTTGAATATATGTTCTCTTTGAATTTTATTTTGAAAAGATCTTTGCATTCATATATTTCCAAAACTGTAGGAAAGAACATTCACTTTTAAGATGCACCAGATATGTACTTTGTTTCGCACTGGTAAAAGTCATGCCCCCCCCCCCCCCCCCCCCCACACACACACACACACACATATTTTGTTTTAAGTTTTGGCCTCATGATGTGTGAAATTTTGCATGATTTTATATTAAACATAATTTCTGAAAGCAACAGAATTTTTGCCTAAACCAATGAGGATGTGGTCTAATATAAAAATTTTGCACAACAGGGGTTCGGAGCTGCTATGATGAGGGCAAGCGTGTGGCAGAAACTTTGATGTTTGATTATCATAGGCAGCATGGAATAGGTAATGTCATGTCTTCTTTACCTAACAAGTAACTTCTTGATGATAGAGGGTATTGGCAGTTCAAGTTTTCCTCCTGTTAACTCCATAGTATTTCCATATTTTCACAGAAATACGCATTGCCAGAATCTTTAACACATATGGACCACGCATGAATATTGATGATGGGCGTGTTGTCAGCAACTTTATTGCTCAAGCAATTCGGTAACTCCTTGAATTATGTTATGAGCTGGTTAGTTATACAGATGATTTTTCATGGCCTGTTTATATCTTGAGACAACAGCAGTGTGCTTCTCTGAGAAAATAAATTACAATTTATCCTGACCTCGGTAGTGACAAACTCAATCTGTATAATATAACAATATGAATTATGTGCTTAATGAGCTTGCTGTTCATTTGCTAGGTCAATTATGAATCATTGATTTGAATACCTTGATTTAGTGGACTAACCTTCACACCATTTCAAACTGGATTTTTTATCTGTTTCTTCTTGTGTAATCTTGTGTTACAGTGGTGAGCACCTAACAGTCCAACTTCCAGGAACACAAACTCGCAGCTTCTGCTATGTCTCTGACATGGTATATATTATGTGTTAGACATTGTGGTTTGTGGTCTCGATTACATATTAGTACTGATCTGACTGTTATATTAGGTTGATGGCCTTATACGACTTATGGAAGGGGAACACACTGGTCCTATCAACATTGGGAACCCAGGTTATATTACAACTGATGCCTTTATGCACCGATTTTTCTTTTAACTACTAGTTTGAATGGATTACTTTATTCTTTCAGGTGAGTTCACAATGATTGAACTTGCTGAGAATGTGAAGGAGGTCAGTTATGAGCCGTTTTAATTTTTTTGGAATGCAACATGCCTCCTTATGTATATTAGATTAGTATTATTGTTATATTCTTGTTTCCATTTTATGCTTAAGCTCTGAATAGTGGAAAAAGAAACTCTTGGATACCCAATATATGGATCTGCTTTTCTGAGAGGGATTGTATAATATCATTATGCATTATTGCATTTAATTAAGTACATATGACTTCTGCTTTGTCATTTAATTATGGAGATTTTGGTGAAATATTTTAAGTTAGTTAATACTTTATGGGATGGTTTTGCAGCTTATTAATCCAAATGTGGAGATAAAGATGGTGGAGAACACTCCAGATGATCCTAGGCAAAGAAAACCAGACATAACAAAAGCAAGGGAATTGCTTGGATGGGAACCAAAGGTCAAGTTGCGCGATGGCCTTCCTCTTATGGAAGAGGATTTCCGTCTAAGGCTTGGGGTTCCCAAAAAGAACTAACTCAACTTGGTTTTGCTCCTTCATTTCATTTCATAATGGATATTTGGGTAATAGTTGGGATGAGTTTGTCAGTATTAAGATATTTCAAATTGAGCATTATGGTGAGAAAGGTTGGGGGTTGCTTCAAATCTGTTGCGTTGTTTTTTTTCCCTCTCCCCCTTTACCCTTTTATATTTCATTTTATGTTATTCTTGGCCATGTAATGGCAGAGAATATATCATATATGATTGCTTGTCACTCCAAATTTTCCTCTTGGGAATGTATTGAGTCGAATTTTCTTATAAAAGTAGCGCCTTTAAAATCTCTTTTAACTTTCTTTATAGAACGGATGTCAGGTTAGTAAGAAACGGAGGGAACATTGAGTTTACAAATTAAAATTGGTAGGTTCGGTTTTAGACCTTGGGAAGTTATGCATTTCTTACAGAACGGAAGGTAAAAATGTATAGCTGTTTGCTGTGATGTGAATATGACTCTCTATGAGATATGTTCCATTGAAAATGTGGTTCTTCTTAGTTGAGCTTTTTTTCTCGTGTATATTGGAGCGTGCTGAAAGAGGTTTGCTGAAAATTCTATAAAATTTGAACGCAGCTGTAACCTCTTAAGGAATTTTGTGCGTTTTTTTTTTTTTTTTTTTCTGTTGTTGAGATTTTTGCATTTATTCATTGATGATTTGGGTAACAAAACTCTACAAATTTTTAACATAGTTAGGGACTTGAATTTTAAATTACGGATTAAGTTAGAACAATCTTGTACCAATTGAGGAGAGTGAATTCTCTCGTGTCTTAATTAAGATGACATGTTATGTGGAGAAATTTGGAGAAATTTTAATTATATAAGGGTAAATTAATGGTAATGATTTTATAACTATCTGTTTTAATATTTTTTTCCTCTCTTGCCTTATTATTATTGATTCACCTTAACTAACACATGAATTTATTATGTGATCATCGTAACTCACACATGAGATGATGTCCAATTCATCTGTTTACTGTTGTAAGATGATTCTTTATTCCATTACATGTTGACTTTTTTTTTTCATTTTTTGTTGTCGTTTAAGAACTGTCACATTCAATAACAACTACTCCTAATATTTTGTCTTCCTTTAGTTGTTTTCTTCTAATATTTTATCAAATTTAGTCCGTTTATACTAGATCTTGATTTCTTTAGTAGATTATAATTCAAGTCTTGCAGTTTTAATAATTAATTTTTTTTTTTTTAAAAAAGATAGGATTTCATTCTAAAGTTAAGATACATATTTATTTTGGGAAAAAGTTAACATGATCCCGGTCCATGTTATTTTTCCCTAGTTCCACTCACGATCAAAAAAATTTTTTAACTATTTTATCCTTGTTTTTTCTTTTGTTTTTCTTTTTTACCCTCTACATGTGAGAGGGGACATTTTTACATTCTATGAGCCTAGACCATGGAAATATTTCTCTTTGTTTTGGCGTTTTTCCCTCTTTAATTACTAAAATACAGATACATAAGAACTTTTTTTAAAAAAAGTACAATGATCTTTTTTAAAAAAATATTAGTAAAAATTAAATTCAATGCCTTTGTATCCTTGCCGTTTGATTCTGTTAATTAAGCTTAACCTAATTGTGACTTTGTTTTCTTTATTTTTTCTGGGGAACGGATCAACATACCACCAAAAAAGTTTACAACTCTTACAACCAATCTAATTACCGTTGATTTTCGTCAATTTAACGGTTATAATTTATTAAAAATTAATAACATTTATTGTGTCACAATTATTAATTTCCAATAAATTATAATCGTTAGATTGATGAAAATCAACGGTGATTAAATTGGTTGTAAGAGTTGTAAACTTTTTTGGTAGTAAGTGGATCCTCCCCCTATTTTTTGTTACGGATTTTAGTTTTATTTTTGTCAAAAGGAATTGGACAATTTGGCTCTAAGCTAGCCTCTAACAATGCAAATTACGCCTAAATCTTTTTAGCTTAGGTTCATTTTTTCACTTAAAAAAACACATTAAATTTTATCGGCAATCATGAACATCACTCAACTTCGGATGGAATGGAAAATCTGATAGAAAGAAAATATGCCAGCCAAATAAGTTAACATTAAGTTTTGTTTTTGTCAAAAGGAATTGGACAATTTGGCTCTAAGCTAGCCTCTAACAATGCAAATTACGCCTAAATCTTTTTAGCTTAGGTTCATTTTTTTCACTTAAAAAAACACATTAAATTTTATCGGCAATCATGAACATCATTCAACTTCGGATGGAATGGAAAATCTGATAGAAAGAAAATATGCCAGCCAAATAAGTTAACATTAAATTTCATCTTCAAAATTAAAGAGACAAATTAATTAAGATTAAATTTTATCTTTTAAAATTGAGAAATTAATTATATTGTTCAGTAAGACTAATATATTTGTGTCGTTCATGAAAAAAAAAATCCGTTATTAAGAATTTACTCGACGCACATATCAGAATCAAACAATAACAAATTATAATTACTTGTACACATAATTTTTACCGAGAGAAATTAAACATGGAAACATATTATCGACTATCGAGCACCCAATATGAGTTGGCCCAGCGACGGTTGGCTAGCTTCCAAAACAAATCTCTGTCAATGAAATGGGAAAGATTCCATATCTAAAGTCATCCATTTGGGAAGTGTTAAATACCGTTAATGGTTGCACATTTTGCCACCATTTTATGTTAAAAAAATAAAATAATATCGAGTATAAGAGTGAATCTTTTATATTAAAATTTTATATAATTTAATGGCTTTATGTCTCTCCTTACACATAGACTAAGAGACATCAATTTTCCAAGAGACACAACACAAAATGTAGCCTATATTTTTTTTGGGCGTTGTTTTTATCCTGTTGCAGCAAAAAGTAACATTTTTTTCTGATGATACATCGATTGTGGTGATTGTTTTATTTTGTTTTTTCATTTTTTTTACTAATGGGACCCACAAGTTTTTATTAGTGCAAAAATGGTTTTAATTTTTCTAGTAACATAACATTTATAATTCCTATTTTTTTTAAAAAAATAAATAAGACATGAGATTCGAGCTCTCACTAGCGGGATCTAACAACAGGAGAAATGTATTTCCAATAATCAAATTATATAAAAAAAATTGTGTCTATTTTTTCCTTTACATACAGTCTAATTATAAAAATATAAACACAAAAATATAAGAGCATCAATTACATTTGAATGTTGAGTTAAAGACAAGGGAATGGGGAAGACAACCTAAGTCAATTTAGATCAATTGCAAGTGGTACCTTCCGATGTCAAATGTTGTCTAATTCGAGAAAACGCGGGTCCATGTACCTCTTCTCACTCCTCAGCATACGTGGCATCCAACGAAATGAGGAACCTTGTACTGACAGAACTACTCGATTCTCATGCACTCCCAGCATATTCGGTTTCGTCTCTCACTCTTCAACAAGTTGAGGAACTCTTCCCATACATTAATCACTAGAGAGAGAGAGAGAGAGAGACATGTTATTCAAAATTGAATTGCACTTATATTTGGACTTGATCTTTCCCATATTTGTTTAACCTTCCTTACATGATTCAGCCCTTTGATATCATTAGTATCATACAATTGATTTGTTCGGTTAGGTAAATAAATCGTATTTCCTAAGTCATAGACACAAAATTCGATGTGGGGTTTCGTTGGTTGGGTTTTTCTTTTCTACATGTTTACTTCAGAGTAAGTTTGGTGTGATTTCCATTACTGTGTTCGTTGCCTGAGAGCTTTCATTATGCCCTTCAACTTTCCGTGACTTTCAAGGCTTCCAAAATGATTTTTATTTTATTTTTTTGGGGTGGGGTTAATTTTTATCTATTATATACTTCTAAAGTTTTAATGTTTTTTTTTTCTCCTTTCTGAATTTAGCGTTTGGTGGAAGAATTTTCAAAATTTTGCTCTTATTTATCTATATAAATGGGTCTATGATTATGGAGTGCTTGGATCAGAAGAGTGGTTAGGGTTTTGGGTTGGTCTTTTGTGAAGCTTGAGATCAGGTTCACTAGCTGCTCTTTCCCTTCTTTTTTTCTTCTGCTTGCTCTTATAGTTGTATGTCTGTCTTTCCCACCACCCTTGGCTCCAATTGACCCTTTTCTTAATAGATGTGAAGCAGGATGATTTGGTTTATGAAATTTTTTTGATAATCAGTTCTGATATGTGCATTCGTTATTCAGAAGCTTATCCTTATCTTTTTCTTTTTTTTTTCTTTTGGTAAATGTTTATCTTATCATAATCCAAATTACAATTTTTAGTATTTTGAGGTTTTTTTTTTAAAAAAAAAAAATTGGATTTCAGGTAGATTGTTGGAAGTTGTAATGTTATAAATTGATGGCTCGCATGTAGAAGAAAATTCCAAAATTTCATTTCTCTTTCCTTCCCCAATATTCTCCCAAAAATCTTTCCTTCTCCAATCTCTCCCTAAATTCTTGCTACAGACTGACACCCAGAAATTTGTACAGGAATTGAATTTTGGAGGTCCTGACAATGGCAATGAATTCTTCCAATGGACATCACCAAGCAACAACAAAGCAACCTCCTTTGCCATCTCCCTTGCGTTTTTCCAAATTCTTTCAGGTTTACCATTGCATCTCTTTATTTTGACTCCTCTGACACATAACATATACTGCTTGCTTTTCATGTTCGTTCAATTATTTAGTATTTCATTGGACACAAGCAGCAGTAGAAACTTAAAGAGAATTGAAAATGCTGACAAATGTGGATTGATTTACTTATGGGATAAATAAGAATCATGTTGCAGCTAAAAAGTTGATGTCATGCAATCCTATGGACAAGAAAAAGTCACCCAACACAGTGTCTTTTCATCTTTTTTATTATTATTTAACTTGTCGTTTATTTTGTAGGAAAATTTTTTTGACCCTATTACGTGACAAAACCAAAGCCCTTTACTTATATACTATAATTTGACCAACTAAGAGTGTAAATGGGTCAAACGACCTATCACAGAGCCTATATGCCTTAGCCTACCTTAAGTATAACCTGGCTTGCTCTATTTTCTAAATAGGAGTTTTAGACTTTTAAAAAGTTTATTTAAAATTTAGGACATATGTCCACTTTAAAAAGCCTAGCCTAAAAGCTTGCAAGCTAGCTTTTTAAATTTTTTAATAATATAATATATTTATGATATATATTGTTTACTTAAAGACATATTCTGAGATCATGGTTTGTAACACTAATTTTCAAAATAATAAGATTGATGTTATTTTAACAAATAATAAATATTTATTTAAAATTTAAAATATAATATTAAATTAGTAAAGAAAGTGCAAATTATATGTATATATACATATATGAAATTTTCATGTGATCTTTATAAACATTTTCATGTGACTTTTATGAACATTATTTCATGTGTTAATGAAAATATTATTTCATTTGATTTTTGTGAATAAGAAATTTTATCTTTTATATTTCAGTTTGGTTTACTTTAGTTTACAACTTGCTTGGCCTTACAGGCTTTGTTAGGTTTTTTAGTTTTTTATAATAGGTCAGGACAGACTTATAAATTAAAGCCTTTAATAGGCTAATAGGACAATGTAGACTCTAAATATTTTACATAGGCTTAAACTATTAAAGTCAAAGTCTGGCCTAACCTGTAAATCTTTTAACCTGGCCCATTTACACCTCTAACCACAAGCATTTAGCGATCAAAATATTTTGACTACAAGCCTAGTGTTTTATACTGTGAATATTCTAATAAGGTTTTTTTATTTATTTATTTTTTTTTTTGGGGGGGGGGGGGGGGGGGGGGGGGGGGGGGGGGGGGAGGGGGGTGTAGACACAAAAGGTTGCAATTTATCTTTTTTATAATTTTTGGGGATTAGATACAAATACTGATCTGTTAAACTGTAAAAGGTTTTTCAGTTTTTCTATTATTTTGCATAGCTCTACCTCTGGTTCTGAATTATTTGTATGAGAACATATGTGTATCATACATGCATTGATAAAAAAATTGTCGGGTGTTTGTAAATAACTAAATATGGCCTTTCGTCAGAATCACATATTTTACATAAACATTTTTTTTTCTTGTCTTGATGCCTTGTTATACCAATATTTGTTTCATTCTTGATAATAGTCCAACATGAGAATCTTGGTTACTGGAGGAGCTGGATTCATTGGGTCTCATCTTGTTGATAGATTGATGGAAAATGAAAAAAATGAGGTCAGCTTGTTATCTTTTTGCATAAAATGTTATATTTCTCATTTTCATTCATATTTTAACTGATTATGTACAGATGAAATAACTTGCTACCATCCTATATGTGATAAAATAAGATACAGCTTGTAGATCAAATTTTGATTTCATAAAGTTCTGTTACAATGTCCCTCTGTTTAATCAGGTCATTGTTGCTGATAACTACTTCACTGGATCCAAGGACAATCTCAAGAAATGGATTGGTCATCCAAGATTTGAGCTTATCCGTCATGGTATATTGTCATCTTTGTTTACTATAAACTATCCATGGCATTAAAATTGTTGCACATAAGGTTTTTGCTTGTTGGGCTGTATATATTTGAAATTTTAAATCTAGTTTGTAAAATGATTTCTGTTGACTTAACTACGTAAGGATACCAAAGACCATGCAATCAGCATAAGCTTCACAGTTGTACACCACAAATTAAAGAAAATGCCATTTCAACTATCAACCAAAATTTGATAAGCCATCTGATGATTCTGTTATCGGGAAACATGAATGATGATACTGTATTTTGTAGTTAGTATACTTTGTTCAGCATTTCCTTTAGTACTGTTTGTAAACCAGTGATGCTGATGCTCATTATCACTTTGATCCCTTCGTAGATGTCACGGAGCCTTTGTTGATTGAGGTTGATCAGATCTACCATCTTGCTTGCCCTGCTTCTCCTATTTTCTACAAATATAATCCAGTAAAGGTATAGTTTTGAGAGTCTTCTTCTGTCTTTCTAATCATTTTCTGTGTACTTGCCTGTCATACTTTATTCATGTCAAATGTTGAAGAATTTACTTTCTAGGTTATGGTTACTTTTACTAAAAAAAAAAGAAAAAAAGTATATTGAGCCCCCTCTTTTCTTTATCCTTCCCCTTAAAGTAGCTTCATTCCGATACATATTGTTACATTCTCTGCCTGTATTTATGTCTACCTCCTGTCATGCATCATTGGTTGAAAGTTCTCTCTGTTTGTTTACCTGACCTTGAAAGGCTATCTAATTTGTAATGGAATAATGACTTCACAGACAATAAAGACAAATGTGATTGGCACACTAAACATGCTTGGGCTAGCCAAGCGAGTAGGAGCAAGGTTGGGATATTTTTTTTAAATGATAATAATCTCAACTGCTGCCATCAGTTGGTCTTAATTAGTTCAAATTTTATTGACAGGATTTTGCTTACATCAACTTCAGAGGTATATGGGGATCCTCTTGTGCATCCCCAACCTGAAAGCTATTGGGGCAATGTTAATCCTATTGGTAAGTGCATCCCACCCTGTGGCTTTTCTTTTTCTTTTACAAATATTCATGAAGATGTAGTCTGAGGACTTAAAAATATATAATAACAGGAGTTCGTAGTTGCTATGATGAGGGGAAACGTGTGGCTGAGACTTTGATGTTTGATTATCATAGGCAGCATGGGCTTGGTAAATTCCTGTCTTTTTCTCCTTATAATTGTTGCTCGTTTAGTTTAAGGTATATGTGGTAGAAATTTTCCCTTGTTTTTTAACTCCTTTGAGGTGTTTATACCCTTTCTCAACATAGAAATACGCATTGCAAGAATCTTTAACACATATGGACCGCGCATGAATATTGATGATGGGCGAGTTGTTAGCAACTTCATTGCTCAAGCACTTCGGTAATTACCTGATCAATTATTGATTTAACTATTTTAATACTTTGGTTTTTATGACTATAATTATTTTAACCCTTCATTTCTCATTTTATCTTTGGTTCATTGTAGTGGTGAACCCTTGACAGTCCAATCTCCGGGAACACAAACTCGAAGTTTCTGCTATGTCTCTGACCTGGTTTGTATCCCATAATCCCTTTGTATCCTTGAATTACTACCCATAATGTGATTATGATTATGATTGTTTGTGAGATGTCTTAGGTTGATGGCCTTATCCGTCTCATGGAAGGACCAAACACCGGGCCAATCAACCTTGGAAACCCAGGTTATATTCCTATTACACGGCCTGTATTTGAGTATCATTTCCAATGTTATTAAACCCGACCCGGGCATCTATCTGGTCGGGGTACTGAGTTATTGGGTCACTGGTCAGACCGGTTGACCCAGATATATATAGATATATAAATATGAACATATAAATTCAATTATATTCTCCATATCTAAAATGAATTAAACATGATTCACTAAATAAGCTCTAAAACATGAAGCATAAATAAATAAAAATGCACGCTATTACTATGTCAATTTAAATTGCAACTCAGAATCCCCATAAACATACCTCTCAATGACATTGAACTCATATTTTTCAAATTCAACTATATTAAAATGACATATGTCACATTTTCTTAATTTATTATTCCGCAAATTGCTTTAGTATTGGAAGCTGAAATTTGAGGTCATTGTAGAAGAATATACTAGCAAATAAAATTACAAAAAGTTTTTAAAATGAGTTCTATATTTTTTTTGACAAGATGAAACAATTTTGGTTTTTTTTTTTTAAATGCATGACTCGACCAGGTCACCGATTTTGATCGGGTTTGGCCGGTTTTGTCCGGGTCAATGCATAACCGATCTAATGCTTAACCCGAACCGGTCCGATGACGGGTCGCCGGGTTCCTGGTCAATCCTGCCGAGTCGGGTCGGGCCGGGTTTTACAACAATGATCATTTCATTTGTAGTTGCTAAAGTATCTTTACTTTCTTTGCCCTCGGTTACTTATTTGAGTATCTTTACATTTTCAGGTGAATTTACAATGATTGAACTTGCTGAGACAGTGAAAGAGGTCAGTTTTAAGAATTTTTTTATTTTTATTTTTAACTTTTTCAGTATCATTCACCTTCACACACAGCTTTCATTTTAAGTTTAAGCTATAAGTAGTGAAATGTGATTTGGAATTTCTTGGTAACCAATAAATTGAGCTATTTTTCTGGAAGTCTGCAGTATGAGAATGAAAATATTCGCGAATAGTTTATAGTTAATGCTATGTGTGTGGTTTGCAGCTTATTAATCCAAATGTGGAGATAAAGATGGTGGAGAACACTCCAGATGATCCTAGGCAAAGAAAACCAGACATAACAAATGCAAAGGAATTGTTGGGCTGGGAACCTAAGGTCAAGTTGAAGGACGGTCTTCCTCTTATGGAAGAGGATTTCCGTCTGAGGCTTGGAGTTGACAAAAATAGTTCATAAATGGGATGAGTCTGTCTGTTTTCAAATTTTTCATTCTTCGTAGTTATGTATACTGAGGAAGTCGAGGTGCCTGAAATTTGGCTTCTGGAAGTTATCACATTGTTAAATATCTTGCTCTTTGTTTGGCAAAAGACTATATAGCATGTAACTCCAAATTTTCGCCGGTGGAAATGGTGATTGAAATGAAATTTCTTTCCTGTTTTGTGGTTATCTTTTCAACTTTATTTATTCAAGTGTCTTTAGGATCTGAGTTCCTTCTGAACACGCTCGCTCCCTAAAACTAGTTTCACAACCGAGCTTGTGGTATTCCAACATAAATAATTATTAATGGCAGAGTCTAGAGTCATGCCATTTGCTCTTGTGCTAATGTCCCGTAACATAAGAAACTTTAAACCCTTAATTCATTAGAAATCAATCCTTAATTCGTTATTAATCAATTTCGTTTGTAATAAAATTCCTTTCAGAACTTTATTATATTGCCTTGTCTGCAGCTAATCTTAAGTTAGTTTTAATAATTATTTTCCGCTGTGTTAAGGGTTATGAGAACAGCATGAAAAATCATAGGAAACTTAATGAGAAAATTTTCTGGGTAAATTGGTCGGTTTATGGCAAGTTATCACTTTGTACAATGCCCAAAGAATATTCTCACTTGCAACTAGATCGAGGTTCAATACAGTGTAAATGCACGTCGAAGTTGGATAAAAGACAAGTTATCATACTTATAAACCTGCCAATAACTAATTTATAAATTGATTAATTTCTAATCACACTACAAAGTGAATTAAATATATTGGTCCTTAACAAATAACAACTTCCGATTATATTTCTTAATAATTTTTTCCTCTATTCAAAACCAAAGGGCACTAGGACTCTAGGAGGATGCTGCTGGGGGAAAATAGACCCTTCCAGAATTTATTTTGGTGACATCATTCCAACATCAACATGAACGGCAAATTTAGTACCATAGGTTGAACACAGATTGGGGAACTTGTTAGATTAACTAAGCAATTCATATTTTTAATATTATAGTAGATAATTTTATTTCTTATATGCATATTAAAGTGTATAGAACTCATATGGGACAAAAAAGAGAAAAAAAAAATAGGTATGAAACTATGGTCATATTAAAATTACCATTTATAATATAAAAAATACTAATCTTATTGAGTAATAGTCTAATATGAAACTATGGCCTTAAAAATATATAAAAAAAAAAAAAAAGGTAAACCATAACAACTAACCAATAGGTAACCGCCAATATCCCGCCACGTCTCATTAACGTGCCTTCTCGATTGCTGACGTGGACCTCTACAATCACCACAACTTACAACTATTGATAATCTTGACAGTGTTGGAGTTTCTGTTGATAGATTTCCGTTTTCAATAACCGCATGCTCTTAGTCTCTTACCTCAAACCTTAACCTACACAAACCAGTGTTCTTCTCTTTTTTCTTTTTTTTTGGGTGAAAACTCTCATACCAAACCTTAACCTACACAAACCAGTATCCTCCGTTTGACGTGGGCGTGTGTGCTAACTGTGCACTGTCCCATGATGGGAATGCCTTCTACGATGGGAGTGCCCGACGGCCAAGACGACGTCGTTCAAATTCAGCAAGGGAAAAAGCCCGGCGAGCCTTTCATTATCACTGTTAATTGCCCCGACAAGGCCGGTCTCGCTTGCGATATCTGCAGAATCATTCTCGATTTTGGTCTCTGCATTACCAAAGGAGGTATCATTCTTAACACTTTTTCAACTTCCTTTCCCTTTTTAATTCCATTGGATTCTTTGTTAGAGATCCTCTTCAGTTTTAGATTGGTTATTGTTTACTCCATGACATTACAATCAACAAAAATATTAAAAATATTAAAAATATTGCTAAATTACTTTAAATACAACATGTTGCATCATCTTCTCATCAATTCAAAATTGTTTGTTAAGCAGAACGAACGGGAATCTTCTACAATGAGTTTTAGACAAATATTTCTGTTTTTTGCCGTATAAAATATGTCACTCACCTTCTACGAATCACCACGTTTCAAAATCTCTAACGTGTTGTATCCGACACTCCAATACTCGTTGTAAATACTCAAAAAAATAAAAGGTTCAAAGGTTATGTTGCGTTGAGTTCTAACTATTAGATTCGTTGGATTACAATTACTATTTTATTGAGTTTAATATAAATATTTGGGATATCCTACGTTTCTTTGCAAAATTGATGAGTATTATAAGCTTAGCTTTATTTTTTGTTAAATTATTGAATATTAAATATAATATACACTACATAAATTAAAAATATTATATAATATCAAAACATGTCCTAAGGTGTCGAAATTTAACATTTTTTAAAATTAACGTGTTGGAGTGTCGTGTCGTATCCGATGTCCCGTGTTACTGTCGGTGCAACATAGCTCACCGTGAGTGGTCCCATTGTGAAAAGATGAAAGAAAAAATTTATAGGATCTATTTAATTTTATGTGAATGTTAGTGTAGCATATAAATATTTTATGTGATAAAAAGTGTAACATCCCCGTCTCGAGCCGGTTCAATTAACATACATATGATACAAACAGAAACAGCGGAAGACTTAACTTACAAAAATATGAGCTAACTTTTTCTTTTTCTAACTTAATTCTTACTCGGCGTAAACGAAAATCGGGCAGAGTTTCCTCTATAAATCGGACAACTGGGGATTTTCCAATCCCACTCAGAAGCATTTCCTGATAAACAGTTTATACAACATATCAATTCAGAAATACCAGATATCCAAATATAATCAAATACCCATACATGGGCGCATGCATAACATGGCTCCGTGCCACTAAATCTAACAGCATGCCATCAAAACATAAACCTATCTGAATACTACATCATCATATAACGTTCCTGAATACTCAAATGTACATGCATCAAACTGATAGACATGTACAAAACATATACAGGCCATATACAAAATAAAGGATCAATATCATGATCCATCAAATGCGAAAATACTAAAATACATCAAACACTCCAAAAAGGTAGTAGCCTACAGCCACTCAAAATCCGGTCTGTCAACTGCCTCAGCCACGTGTCGTGTCCCTGCCTAGTGAGGACTCACCGGAAATCTGGGCCCCTGAAAATGTGTCCCCAAAGAGGGGTGAGATTACAAATCTCAATAAGCTCCAGGTTTATAGAGAATTCTCCATACCCCTGGCTCACTCCTGCATGAAATTCAGATACAGAGTATACAAATACAACATATAACAGATATCATAACAGAACAGAGCATATATCCATATCATATCAGAGATGTGCGCCGTCATTCCCAAGGGAGGACCCCAAGCGGAAATCAACGCACGTGTTCCCGAGGGAGGACCCCAAAGCGGAACCAGACATATCAGAGGAGTACACCATCCGTCCCGAGGGAGGACCCCAAAGCGGACGTCCGGGTACTATACAATCAATGGCCAGAGATTGTTACAGAAATCATATTACAGAAGTCATATCAGAGCAAAACATATCATGTTATCAAATAACTCTATATGAATGCATCTATACAAAGCATCTAAATCACAGTCATACAGTCCAACCATAGTCCACTAACCATGGTGGAGCACTCAAGCAGGAAAAGACTCCTTAAACATAGAGCTTACCTCTTGAAGCTTTACCAATACGCTTACTTGTGGAACAAGTTACTTTTATCACTTCAAGAGATTTCCGATCCTTCTCAATCCCTAGGCACACCTAGAGAATAATTTACAATGCATCAATAAAATGATGCAATACCATAATTATTTCATAAGCATACATTTTATCGCTTATTTTCCTTTCTTTGCATTTTTGCCAATCCTATGCCAATACACAAGTCTAGACCCCTTTATAACCGTTGGTGTTCTTTAATTTAATCAACCATTCCCTTAGGAATTTTCAACATAAATCATGCTACTTTTCTTCAAAACTCATCACTTTTATACAATTTATTACAACACATTTTATTTAAAATAAAATGTACAAAATATATCCCTAAATACCCTATAGGTCGAACTCTATAAGGAATAGGCAAGGGCTCTTTTCTTTTTAATTACATGTAACTTACACATACAAATGTATGTTTCCATATTGTTCCAACTTAATGTTGGGACATCAAGTCCCTCACCACTCTCCATAGCCGAAACATAGGGAGTCAAGACACAAAGGATTTTTCCCCCTTTGGCCTTCACACTAATTTACCAAATTCCTACTCACTCCAACACATTAGACACTCTAAATATATCAAATAAAATTTTGCACCATGCACCCTATGTGACTCATCATGGCCGAAACCTAGGGAGGGAAGTACCATGGGCTTTTCAATTTTTTTAATTACATGTTGATGCTTACTTTAACATATAACTTCCTAAACAACAACAAACCATTATCAATTTCAATTTCTAAAATCAATTATTCCCTACCCACACATGCTCATAGATTTCATGACTTAATTCATCAAAATAATATCATGGAAGTAGAGGTTTCTTACCTCTAAACACTTGTACAAAGCCTAGAGAGCAATCTCCAAGCCAAACTTCATCAAAACTCACTTTTTCTCCTCCAATGAATAGTAACTCGAAAATGAGAGGAGGAATAACTCTTCACACACTCAACTATAGCTCAAATGGATAGGTGCAATGGATTCGTTGAGTAGTTCCTAATCGATTTCATGTGGTGGGTCATTAGATTTGGTGGAAGATTCAAAGAGAATCAACAAAATCAAAAACAAACCCTAACCACCCCCCCCCCCTTTTTTCCTGGTGCAGCTCGGTTTTGGAGTGAGGAGAGGAGAGAGAATTTTATTTGGAAATGAGGCTTAAGTGACTTAAAAAGGTGAGCACATGTGGCCTTTTTTAACAGATGTTTTTCTATCGCGTATTTTAACTTAAATTGACCCGGAACTAACTTAAAACTACGAACATATTTTTATTTTTCTAAAATCATTTACATTAATTTTTTATCTGTTACAAAACAATATTCATAATTCACAGTATGGTTTCTGCACCGTTTTTGACGAAATGCACTGTGAATCACTAATTGTACTTTATTTACTTTTAAAACTTAACACTTATAAACTTATCATTTTCTTGGGCCTATATTGACTTGCTTGGCATATATTGGACTTTCTTATTCTTATTTCATCAATTATTTATTTCTGGACTCTACCGGTTGCTTAAACAGCAGTACAAAATACCCGGTAGAAACACTATTCACGAGATTTTCACGGAAAGTGCCAGACTATACAATTTTTCGTTCTGAACTCATATTTGTCATCAGAATTTTCAAATTATGTTCCTAAAATTATTTTGCTCATTTTAAACTCTACCGGTTAATTCACAAAACTGTAAATTCTCCGGCAGAACGCACTGTTCATAACATAGTCATGATTACAGTCAAAATACTCGAAATCGCTCACTGAATCTAATTATGGCATTTAAATCCTTAAATTAAATCTCTAACTAAGATTTATCAGTTAGGGTCATTATAAAAAGCAGAAATATTAAACTTATTTATAAATTGTATAATACAACCTATTTTAAAAAAGGGTTTGATGTTTGTCATTTTAAATAATATAAGTTATCTCATTTTAGGAGATAGATAGATACAAGAAATGAAAATTATGGAAAAGAAAATGGGTGGTTTTTTTTTCAATTTAAATTTTAAATAAAAAAATATTATTTTGTGTGTATATCTCTTAAAATAAGATAATTTTATGTCATTTAAACACTTTTCCCTCTAAAAAATTTTAATGTTTCTACTTTTACTCATTCATTTATTTTTATGCGACCGTGGCAAAAAAGATTTTTCTGCATCAATAAGCAAAACATTTTCCCCATTTTTAAACTATGAAAATATACATATTCTAGTTAAGTCAATGGTGTGCGACGTCCTCCTTTGATGATAATATATTTTACACTGTAGTTTATCAAATTTAAACTCAAAGGTCGGTGCCTTCAATATGTTTTTGACTTTTATTATATATAGAACTGCGTTTTTATGGGGTGATATTATTGGCTTATATTCTAATGCCTAGTTGGCGCTTAGACTATATTTCTCACTTCTGAATATATCTTGTAGACATTTCAACGGATGGTGTATGGTGCTACATTGTATTGTGGGTTAGTCCACACAATGTTTTGCTTTCTATGAGTTTGTTTTATCTGAAAGACCGCCTTCAGGCAATTTGCCCATCATGTTCAGCCTCATTTTATCTCATCCAGCAACCTTCGAAATCTTCTCCTGTCTATCTATTGAAGTTCTGTTGCCTTGATCGAAAGGGATTATTACACGGTAACAGAAATGCTCTTCATTTGAAATGATCTTCCATATGTTTTGCTTGCATCTGTGGTTGTGTTGCTTATGCTGTTATTGATACTGTTTTAGATGTAACAAAAGTCTTCTGTGAGCTTGAACTTACAATTCAGAAGGTGAAAGTGACCACAACACCAGATGGCAGAGTCTTGGACCTCTTTTTCATTACAGATAACATGTGAGTGACGTGTTTTGATTCATAAAATATACAATGTGAATATTTTATAAATGCCATGGTGGAATTTTCTGATAATGCTGATGGAATCTCCACTTCTTTTGTTAATTGAGTAGTATCATTATGAATTGCTGTTTGGTTCATATGTTTCAAGATTTTGTTCTCTCGAGTGCCATGTAACTCACATGCAATTTAGTTTTAGTTTGTTACTTAACTTTATGTTGACTTCCCTAATATTAGCTCTATGCATTTACCTCTAGGCCATTAGCCCTTTGCCCTAACTTCCTCTTCCTTTCGCAAAATAGCCTTACCTATATATATATTGTTATCCACCACTTGTTGTCATGATGATAAAAGCTGATCTTTTTGGCCTAACTAGTGGATTTCTACAGCCTAAGATATAGGTGAGTAAACCCTCCGACACATTAATGTCTTATCCTCCTGTTTCTATCATGCTGGTTTCCCTTACCAATTGAGGGGGCAAGGGTTGAAAATGGAAGGGAGAGAGCAAAAAAAGAAAGAAGAAAAGTACTGTATCTACCATATTTCCTTTCTCTTTATTGACGCCAGTGTTGCTGTTGTTGTTGGAAATTATCTTTGTGATAAATCCTAAAACTCTTAAACAAGTAATTGCATAGACGCAGTGTAGGGGACCCAACTTCATGTTATTTGGTTGATCTAATTTATTAGCAATATTTTGGATCTGTCAAATATTAATGCAGTTCATCAACTGCAAATTTTATTTAAGTGAATACTGCTGCTTATAAGTAATCAGCACTTGCTTCAATTTTCTTCTAGGGAACTTCTACACACAAGACAGCGACAAGATGAGACATGTGAAAGATTGCGTGCTGTTCTGCGAGACTCATGTATCAGCTGTGAACTTCAATTAGCAGGCCCAGAGTATGAATATAATCAGGGTATCTCTTCTCTGTCTCCTGTTTTAGCCGAGGAGCTATTTGGATGTGAGTTGTCAGATAATGAAGTTCGTTCTCAAGCTCTTAGCCCAGATATGACAAAGTTGAAGAAAACTAATGTAACACTGGACAATTCCTTAAGCCCAGCTCATACACTGCTTCAAATACGATGTGCTGATCACAAGGGACTTCTTTATGACATTATGAGAACTTTGAAAGATATGAATATGAAGGTGTTGTTTTTCTTTCTTTACCTAAATTATTTGTAACACTGTATCCTTGATAGCTTCTCACTTTCCTTCAAGTTCAATGTCCTTGCAGGATATAACATATTCATTTGGTCAAGTTTTGATAGATTGCAGTTGTCAACATGGGGCACAATGTGTCATTTCTGTTAGTAGCAATTTGATTGGAGTGAAAAAAACCCATGTTGCTCATTCAATTGGACAATCAATATCATGTTCCTTTTTTACCCACATACCAAAACAATTTAATAATAGTTTCACTTTTCTGGCAGAAGGAAGTAACTGAATAAAGCTGGCCGAAATTACTACAACTGTTGATTCTGGAATCTTGTTTTTGTGCAAGAAAAACCCCAATTATGCATGCCATCTGATTTCGAAAATTCATGGGTTGTTGCCTTACTTAGCAGTTTTGTGTGCATATGGACTTTTCAGTTGCGTTTAGGAGCCATCATTTTGTTTAGTAACTGTTAGAGAATAATATAAATCATTAAAAAGTCCAATTGGAGTGGACTGTCATTGTTTTGGATTGAAGTGGCTCTTTACATGGTATGCCTACTCATTGCCTAATTGGAGTCTTTTCAGTTCCAATTCACAGTGTAAGTAGATGCTGCAAACTTCTGAAGTATCTGTCATGTATCACCAACCATTCATCTTCTCGTGGATCAGATTTATTTGCATGAAAATTGAAATTGTGTTAAATTTATTCGCCCTGGCAACTCTAGCATTGTAGCAGTCTGCTGACACTCTCAAAATTTTCTTCTCAGATTTTATATGGCCGATTTTCACCAAATTCTATGGGATATCGAGATTTAGACATATTTATTCAGCAGAAAGATGGGGAAAAGATTTTGGATCCTGAGAAGCAGAGTGCACTGTGTTCTCGTTTGAAACTGGAAATGCTTCATCCATTGCGAGTTATCATTGCAAACAGAGGACCAGATACTGAACTATTGGTCGCTAATCCAGTTGAGCTATCTGGAAAAGGAAGACCTCGAGTTTTTTATGATGTCACATTTGCTCTCAAAACACTTGGAATTTGTGTTTTCTCGGTAAGAAAATTTAAAAATTTGATAGAAAATCTATAATATCTTCATTGCTACAAAAATATAACTGCATTTCAATATAGGCATTGATTATATTATCAGGCCGCTGCATAGTTTTGTTTGTGTAGCTTAGTTACTTCTATATATACAGTTCCTTCGCCTCGTCATAATAAATGTGAGTTGGTGTACTTATCTGGCAGTTCCAATGCCAGGTATCTTGGGGAAATATCTTCAGTACTACAGTAGTACTGAAGACTCGGTGCATCATTCACTCAATTTAAAAAATATAATATAGTTTTTTACCATTTTACGCTTTCTTGTATGGTTATTTTCCCCAAAACCATCATCATTTTCTACTTTTAGTAAAGAAGTACATACTACAGTAGCACCAAAGATGTGCTCGTATTTTGGGGCCAAGATTTCTATTCCTTTTCATGCAAGTGAGCATGGAGGGCTGTCATTAATTATATCTGTTGATTGTTAGATAATATCTGTTGATTTTTAGATAATAAAGCATTAGTTTTATTTAAAAAATAAACAAATCAAATTCTGATCTTTTGATTCCCTTTGTGTGTTAGGCTGAAGTAGGAAGGCATTCAGCATCAGAGCGTCAATGGGAGGTCTACAGATTACTTTTGGATGAGAACTGTGAATTTCAATTAACAAGTGTTGTTGCTAGAAATCAGATTGTTGATCGAGTTAGAAGAACCTTAATGGGTTGGTAAGTAATTTCTTTAACACAATGTGTAGCGTATCTGATGTTGTAATTTGCGTCATGTATCATTGAGTGTCTTGTAATTATTATTTTTATGTTGATGATTGCTTGTTTGCTTTTGTATATATGATATTCTTGGTGTTCTTTGTATTATCCTAACACCTGGTTTAAGGGTTTTAAGAGAATGAGAAGATGCAAGATTGAATACTGATTGAGGGTCATAAGTCCATCCGTCCATGTACTTGTTACGTTGTTTTCTTGGAGGCCAGGGGGGCCTTATTTTTCTTCAAGGTGTCATCATAAAGGACACCAGGCATTGCATCCAATCCAGTTTATAAGTTTACTTTTGCGCAATCTTTCATTCATGGGTGGAATGAACGTTTTCATGTGTTATTTAATATGATTACATTATGGGAGAGGATTTTAAACTTTTATAAACAAATCAATGATGATAATAGATGAAAGAAAAAAATGTTGGGATAAAGAGTGACTAAAAGATTAACATTGATTTGTCTAATCATATGATCACGTTATTTAACATCTGAAAATGGAAATGAAAATTTATCTCATACATATATTCTTTCATGTGGTATGAGAATTATTTTCTTTTCAATTAATAATGGATCTTACATTTAGTAAAAAAAAAATTATACACAAATTGAAGGGTCACAATATGAGAAAATATCTTTCATATAACATGAAAAGCGTTTTCTTCCATACTTTAGGGGATGTTTGGTTCGGAGAATCTACCGGAAATTTTGAAAAAGTGATATACGTAAAATATGTTTATCATATTTGGTAAGTGTTGAAAACCAAAAAAATCGGTATAATATTAGGATCGTGAAAATTGTTTTGTACTAGACGTAGCAAAAGTAAATGACATTGAACCATGGTATTAATTTAATCCATAAATGGAGATACCTCTTTGCAATTTTTAAGACCAAAATGCCCTCAAAAAGACAACTTTGAAGTACAACTTGTCTGAAAAGGTGAAAGACGACAGCGTGAAATTGGTGCATTGAATAATGACATGCTTACTCCGTTTGCTTTCTGTTATTGAATATTTTAATATAATGGATAATTTCGTAATTTTATTACACATTCCCATCAATATTTCACCATCAACCAAACAAGGTATTAGTAAAAAGAACCCAACTTTCTCGAAAAAATTTGCGCTTACCAAACACTTTTTTGTAACTTACCCAGGTCAAAAAAATTTCCGCCATATTCTGGACATTTTTTTGTTACCGGTAATAAAAAAAAATTTCTCATACCAAATACCTCCTAAGGTGGTGTTTGGTTTGGAGCTTTTCAAGAGATATCTATGTTTCTCAAGTATGGCTTTTAGAAACACCATGTTTGTTTCAACATATTTTCACCAAAAATCCATCTATCCAATTTGTATGGATTTATGAGAAACGTAGATATCCGCACTGTTTAGAAACCCAGTTTGAAGTTGGGATTTTTTGGAAAACCGGTTATCTCACTTTTTATACACTGTTGATTTCATAAAAGTTACCTAATTTTTCCAGTAAAGATTTTCTCCACCACATAACTTTTTTTTACATTTTTCTACCTATCTCACTTTATCTCACTTTCCAATCATTTCTCTATCTATCTTATTTTTCTACAATTCAAAAAAATTTCCTTAACCAAAGGCCCTTAAAGGTATTCCCCTTTAGGTTATCCAACATCATAAGAATGAAATCTTACAGCGGGCCAAAAAGTGGCTATATTTTCCAGTTTGGTTTACATAAGAAAAAACGTGATTGTAGGCCCGAGAATATGCATTTAAAACATTGTTTCCTTTGTTACTGCCCACCGTGATGCGGAGCATGGAGGGAATGCAAAATGAACCACAAGGAAAAATGTGACATCTTAGATTTTCTAAAAAATAAAAAACACAACGAAGATGGCTGAGAGCAAATTTGTGTCATTTAAGTGTTTTGAGAAAAAAGAACCACTATTGGTCGCTAATCCAGTTGAGCTATTTGGAAAGGGAAGACCTCGAGCTTTTTATGATGTCACATCTAACCACTTTCTTTTCTTCTTAATTTTATAAAAAATACAAAATGTAAAAAATTACCAAAAACACGTCACAACGACGTAATTTCATTAAAAATTGCATAAAATTATATCATTTAAAATGACAAATATTTTTCTAATATATATAGAGGTAAGATATTGTAACAACCAATTAGTGTTACTATTAATGTTACTATCAATAATTTCACCGTTAGATCAATTACGTTGATCCAACGGTTATATTTATTTTCATCTTTGTATAGTTATGATTTCCCATATTTAATGTAAAATCATTAAATATGAGAAATCATAATCATACAAATGAATATAAAGTATTAAATATAAAAAATCATAACTATACAAAGATGAAAATAAATATAACTGTTGAATTTCTTGCACCGAAGGAGTCTTTTACTACTTGCTCAGGCTAATATTTTCTTTAACGTAGTTTTTAGTTTCGCAAAAAAAAAATTTTACTAAGAAAATGTAATGGATAGGGAAATGGTTTGAAAGTGAGTTTGGTAGGAAAATGTAAAAAAAGTTGTTTGGTTGACCCAAATATTACCAGGGAAATTTATTTAAATATGCAAAATCTATGTTCGGGAGAAACTTTGCACCTGTTTTTCACTTCCCCAGTTATTTCAAAATACCACATCTCAAATGGTATTCTGTAACAATGAATTTCATCCAAAAATCAACACAAAAGTCATTTTCTCATCTATCCTATTTGCCTAGTATTTTTTGAAAAAACTTGAACCAAACGTGGTATTTTCCAATATCCACTTACACTTTCCCATCAACCCCAAAATAAACCTTCAACCAAACACTACCTAAGGAAAGGTTTGCTAAGCCCAAATCATCATAGATTACAAAATTGCACTTTAAACTTGAATCAACTCTTGCAAGCAGAAGAAAAATGTTCATATTTTTCACAGCAGCATGCACAGCACCTTCACCTTCTGATTATTATTTTTTTACAAGGATTCCTCAGATGCAAAAGATCCATTTATTCTATGAATAATTTGTTCGGTACGGCTACAAAATGTTTTGATTGCGAAGTAATTTTATATCAGATAATGGAACTGTGAACCATTTGATTTTTGTCACAGGGAACGGCAAATTATCTCATTAAAAAAGCATGGACAATAAAACTTCGCGTTTAACTATTACAGTATTTCTCTAGTATAATAAATATCTTCTGAATCAACCAAACTTAGCATGTTACAGCATATTATATTAAAACGCTATCCCAAATTGACAGTGATTATAATAACAGTCAAATTTTTGTTTAGTCTACATCCACAAGTTCTAATTGCAGCAACGCCGGGGTATGAGCTCCGCAATCCAAACAACAGGAATTTAACATTTCCCAGCGGAAGTTCTGCCGTCAAAATCAACTAAGCAATCCAATAATATTGCACAACCAGACAAACTATATTATGTGTGTGGATTATTTGCGTGACCTGCTACAATGAACATAATATTTTGCTATCATATTGGCTTGTTCTGAAACATCCCGTACGGAGGAGAAACATAGCACGAAGGTAAACGGAGCAACCAGCCAACGTGAAAAAATCCCCAAAGCACACTTTCCCACACCCATGTAAGGTACATCAAGATGCCCTATAACGACAGTTGTGTTCGACTGTAACTTCAAAAACTACTCAGATTAGCATTAATAAAGTAGGCTCTTCGACTCAACTCCCCCTTTCCTATGTACCTCACAGTTCCAATCAGTAAAAATGTAGTCTGTCATGTCAGAACGACCAGCACAACTTCAACCCGCTGACAGTTCTGAGAATTGCAGATCAAAAATAGGGTAAAAAATGCAAACAGAATTCAAAAACACACGGGACACTTAACCTGGATGCAATAGAGTGAACATAGATATTAACTCTTGCAGCACCCTAATACCGGAAGGCTCTTCATCTGTTGACAAGTTCTTAGCTTGAGCAGTGCACTCAACCGGTGAAGAACAGATGATAATTCCATCTCACTAGTTAATATGCCAAAATTACCAAAAAGTCGAGAGAAAAATTACTCGCCTAAAACAACATATAACTATGAAAATCTCAAGATTGTATTAAGATTATATCAAACAAGATATTTATAGCATAGGAAAATGATACTACCAAAAGCGATCAAATAATTCCTTTTCTTTAAAAGGGGGTGAAAGGAGGACAGGGAATCTACCTCATTTGAAGATTCCACTGTAACATTATAACCAAAGCACACAAAGTAGTTGTGGGTGAATTCTGCAGCCTCCCACATTTTGCAGCCAATGCTTTCTTTGTGCATGGATAAACAAGATCATGGCTCCCACTTCCATAGCCACTTGTTGTATAAACAAATGATTAAAGCCAATGAAAGGAAGCCCGAGTGCATAATACAGGCTGACTTCTGTTTCTTCACCCACATTTCATAGTCATACCCAATGAAAATAAATATTTGATTACAGAATCCCAAACTACATATATCAACCGTAAAAGTTTTCACTCTAGAAGTTATCCTCCCCCTTTCTGTAAAAGCATGACTATGATAAAGATACATAATTAGGTGGTGTTCCATCACCATGCCCCTAACAACCGCAAATGTAATAGCAAGAAAACAGAAATGGGTGATTCCTTCAGTTTAATTGCATTGACTCTGCATGATACTTCTCCAAATCAGCATCAAGATCTTCTGCAGATACCTTCGAATCATCACGACCTCTTCCACGTCCTCGACCCCTTCGAATGCCACGTCCTCGACCTCCTCCGCCACTACCTCCTCCGCCACGCAGCCTTCCAAATGCCCCACTTCTCCCTTGTCCACTGTTCAAAAGCCAGATCAATAACACACAAATTCAGCTTTAATACAAGAATGAATTACTTCCTGATTCACATTAAAAACCATCGCTTGATATATGTCAGCATAATTCAAATTAAAATGTCCTTAAACTAAACCAATGTCTATAAGAGATTATATGGGAAATAACACATCGCATAAATTATCAAAATATAGAATCCTTGCATCCAAATCAATGTCTATAAGATATTCTATGGGAAATAACACACCACAAAAATTATCAAGATATAGCCTCTTGAAATCAATATTTTCCATGTATACTACACAAATTCCCATTAAATGATCCTGTCCCATCAATCTCAAACATACGCAAAACAGGATGATGCTCTACGGTATCTGTTTATTTGACATTCCAAATTAGAGATAGCAACATTCGAAGTAAAATTAATATAATTTACAAAATCCTTTAAAACAATTCCAAATTTGAAGATTGAGAATTGCATGGAACAAAGGAATAATGTAATCATCATAAAAAATGATTCAATCAAGTTTTGCAGCACGGTTAAAAAGAAACCTCAAAACACCACGAATATATGCACACCCATAAGCATTGCTCACGCATCCAAAAACTTCAGCAGTCAAAGCAGAATGACATACAAGAAAGCTTAGCACCTATAAAAATAAGATTAAGGACAAGCAGGGTCACTAATATACTAACTCATTAATGAAGTACATACCTTCTGGGAACTCCATTTGAATTTCCAAAAGCTCCATTTGCAGCAGGAGCCACAGCATGCTGTGTAGCAATGTTTGTTCCCACAATCTCTACCTTCATTGGTTTCCCATCTAGTTGAACATTGTTGTACCTCTTTACTGCAGCTACAGCATCAGCTCGTCGCGAGAAGACTACTTCAGCTGTACCCTATGAAAAAGAGTTTTTCTAAACTACAGCAGGACACAAAGAATTGATCAGAGAGACCAAATTATGCCAACTGGACAAGATACCTTCGATCTCCCACTCCTGTCGTAATGAACATTATGCCGTTTCAGGTCACCAACTTCAGAAAACAATTCCTACAATTATGAAAGACAGCGTTAACAACCCCAAGCATGAAACTGCCATAGAACAACTCAAATTTTAAGTAACATTAAACAGTTAGCACTTTCACGAACGTGCACACACACACACATAGATTCAAACAACAACAAAAGGAAGTTACTAAATAGTGTAAATGTATTTAAATTTAATTCATACCGACCCTAACCATGACAATTCACGTTCCACGTGTTTATATATTTATAAAGTGCTAAAAATAAGGAACAACATGGAGCCAAATTGAAATCAAATTTGACAAATGCAAAAAATGTTAGGTAGACGCAAGTCAAATACTTAAGAAAACATACACCATAATTTGCTGGATGTATGCAAGGAAAGTGTGATTCTATATTTGTAGATGTAAACAGAGGAACAAAACAGGGGGATTTCGAAATCAAATTTCATGTAAGCAAACAAAGCTATAGCTAGTTAATTTAAAATTCAAATTTTAAAATTTCTAAAATGTGCGAAATAAATATAGACGCAAGTACCAACACAAAAGATATCGTACCTTAATATCATCATTGGAAACACCATAATCCAAATTAGATATGTAGAGCTTGGTTCCCGTTTCGATGGAAGACGCTCGAGCACCTTGAACTGGATATGCTGCCGCGTGCACGGGCTGATCTGCATACATGTCATGCTGCCACGCCGTCTCCGGCGCCTAAACAATACGAACCAAAACCGTGAGACAAATTGCGACACCGTCTGAATCCACGAACGGTCCGAAACAGATTGGAAAGAGAGAATCGAAAAGGATGAGATCGTGATACCTTAGCAGTGGTATACGGTGCAGCACGGTTAGCGGCGCGGTTGGGAAGGCGGCGAGCGGGTCCCGGTCCGGATCCGGATCCTCGGGTGCGACCCTTGGAGTTGCCGGATCCGGATTTCTTGTTGTTCTTAATGATATCGTCGAGGGTCATATCCAAAGCTGCAGACATGTTTGTTTATGAAGAAGAAACCCTAACTTCAACGGTGAAGCAAAAACGGAAACAACGGAGATTGGATCTCGGAGGGAAGGGTGGTAGAGGTGACGCGGTTTGGCACTTTGAAGATAAGAGTCAAGAGATGAAAAAAAGGCGAATGAAGAAGGTTAGGGTTTCCTCGACAACTAGGGAGGAGATAGAGAGTGCTTTGTGAAATAAAAATAATAATAATAATAATAATAATAATGGAAACGGATCCTCCTTCGTCGAAAAAAAAAATATATAATATAATCACGTAAAAAATATAAGAAGAATATATAAATAAGTAAATCAACGATTATAATTTTATAATTATTTATTTTGATTTTTTATTATTATTATCATTATTGATTTACTTTTACATGATTATAATTTTATCATATATTTTTTGGGATAGGATATTGTGACACCCAAGTTATTTACACCCATGTGACACCCAGTCAATCTCACCGTTAGATCGCTTATGTTGATCCAACGGTTATATTTATTTCTATCTTTGTATGGTCACGATTTCCCAAATTTAATATTTTATATTTATTTCTACCTTTGTATGGTTATGATTTCTCATATTTAATGCTTTCACTTTAAATTTGGGAAATCATGACCATACAAAGATGGAAATAAATATAACCGTTGGATCAACATAAGCGATCTAACGGTAAAATTTACTAAGTGTCACATGGGTGTAACATAACTTGGATGTCACAATATCTTATCCCATATTTTTTTACATAAAGATCCACATTTAATGATAATAATGCAGTCTGTGGCTACGCGAAAAGAGGAAGCGATCTATGGGGGAAAAAAAAGTCAATAGTTACTAAAGGCATGTTTGAAAATAGATAAATGTGTAGTGTATATGATTACAAGATATTTAATTTCTTTTCTTATCATAAGGTTTTTGATTATTGGAATCTAATAAAAAATTAAACGAACAATCACATGTATGAAATTGTTCTATTATAAATTTAAAAGAGATGTAATAATTGTGGTTAACTATATACTTTTAGTTCATGTTTGATTTTTCAAAGATTTGAGGATAAAATACAAGGGATTTGTTTCTGTCCAAATCATAATTTAAGAATTTCCAAACAAAAAACTAAATAGATACTTGACCTTATATCATCATTGCACCACAGAATGAATTAGGGGTACAGGTTCAAAGGATCTGTCCTGTCACTTGCCAATCTTTTTTTTTAAGGTGAAATTTAAATAGTCCTTATGTAATAACTCTTTATTTTATTTTATTTTGTTTAACTCAACTTTATTATTTAAAATTTCATAAATTATTCATTTTATCTTTATAAATAATAATTGAAGCACGACATAATTCCCAAATAATATATGTATATATTTGTGTGAGACTAAAACAATGAAAATAAAAAAAAACTATATATTATGACCGAACAAAATTTTAAAAATATTATCGTTCATAAATTTAAATTTAAATTTAAACCAAAAAACTAAGTAATGAAATAATATTATTAATGGTAGAATAAATCATTTTTATTTTAAAAAAATATATCCAAACATTTGGAGGTCACACTCAGATCAGTCAGATCTATCCGTTTTAGATTTAGAAATAACTAATATATTACTCGTGCGATGCACCAAAAAAAAAAACTTGTTTATTTGGCGTGATTGGCTGGCCTTACGGGCCGAGCCCATTTTGTCACTTCTAACTATTAGCATTTTATATCAGCATGTAATAGATTTCTATATTTATCCCGTGGTCATTTCAAAATATATCGTTATACTTTAGCTTGTCCTGTTGTCATTCCAAAATATATCGTTATATTTTAGCTTGTCTTGTGATCATTCAAAATTACAAAGTTTGACTCGGCTTCTTTCTGTATTTCTCAGAGATGGACTTTCATTTATTACACTCAGATTTACAAAATAATAATAAATAATTATTTTTTGCAAGAATTTGTGTCGTTAGTATATGAAATTTTACAAATTTATATTTACAAAAATTAAAATCAGATTTAGGAATTTAATTATAAAAGAAGAAGGATTAAATTTTAATTTAATTATAAAATATGTTGGCAGGCGGGTCGAGCAGGCCCTCCGAGACAAGCCCAGTTTTCCACCTTTAACTATCAGCATTTTATGTAAATAATTAATTTTTTGCAATGATTGGTGTCCTTAGTATTTTGAATTTTACAAATTTATATTTACAAAATTTGAAATTAAATTTATGAATTTAATTATAAAAGAAGAAGTATGAAATTTTAATTTAATTATAAAAATAAGTTGGTTGGCCGGCCCTCCCAGCCGAGCCCAGTTTGTCACCTCTAACAATCAGCATGAATAAGTTTTCGTAATAATAAAAAATTATTTTTTTGGTAGGATTTGTATAGTTAGTATTTGAAATTTTACAAATTTGTATTTACAAAAATTAAAATCAGATTTAAGAATTTAATTATAAAAGAAGAATAGTTGAATTTTAATTTAATTATACAAATGTGTTAGTGGGCCGACCCTCCGGGCCGAACCTAGTTTGCCACCTCTAACTATCAGCATGTAATAGGTTTTTTATATTTATCCACACAAAAAGAGCTCTTATAGTTGCGTCTAGGTTTTTATATTTTATCTCAGAGATGAACTTTCATATATTACAATCATAATTACAAATTAATAATAAATAATTATTTTTTGCAAGGATTTGTGTCGTTAGTATTTGAAATTTTACAAATTTTTACAAATTTGTATTTACAAAAATTGAAATCAGATTTATGAATTTAATTATAAAAGAAGAATGTGAAATTTTAATTTAATTATACAAATGTGTTGGCAGGCGAGGCAGCCGGCAAGCCCTCCGGACCAAACTCAGTTTACATTATAGAATGATAAATGTCATTTTTTATTTAAAATAAAAATTTAAATTCTTTTTTTTTCATTGTGCATATTTTTTTATATTAATAACAAAAATATAATGAACAAATATGAGTTGATACAAAAAATTATTCTACTAAATCGAATGTTTGGTGAATTGAATTGAATTGCATTTAATATAATCAAATATGTTATTATTTAAGTAAAAACAATTAGAATATATATAATATATATATATATATATATATATATATATATATATATATATCTTAATATATAGAAAGGAGAACCAAACTTTGGAAACTTTGCTGACGTGTCACTTCCTTCTTAATTCTCAGCTTTGTGTTCACATTGGAGATAGTTTGAAAAGTTATTTATTTTAGAAATGTTTTTTATTTTGTAAATAAAAAAATTCTACAAAGGAAGGAGAGTTTCTTTTAAATCATTATAAAATACTTGGTGGCAGACAGTTGTATTAATGATGTTCTCAATTCAAAATTCGAAATTGAAATTTGAAATGGGTGGGAAGAATAATTCAAATATATAGTGGAAGACACATGTATTAATGATCCACTACTTTCTGCATGGGTAGGTGAAAAAGTATTAATATCTCATTACTTTTTGCATTGGTAGGTGAAAAAGTAATCAAATTCAAAATTTAAACTTAAAGGTGGGAAAAGAGGTCATCATTAATATTCCACTACTTTCTGCATAGGTAATTGTTAACCCCATTAATATCTACTATTGGGCTTAATTATTAAAAAACGAAATTATTTTGTGTATAAATAGGATATGTGTTACTGAGTTTTTTCATTTGGTAATTAGCTTTTGTGCATACGTTTCTTCTCTTCTCTGTCTATTTATCTTCTTCATCTTATCAAGTTGTTCTTCTATTAGATGAACATGTAATATTTTTCATTTTTTTGTAGCACTATTGTAGAGTTAAGCTGACGGGATGATTTGGAATCACTAGAATATGTATTTCTTTACTTCCTCAGAGGAAAATATGACATTCTTCTCTATCTTTTTTTCTTCTACAAGTATTTTTTTTCATAACACAATATTGTGATATGCTTTTTTAACTATTGTATGTATGTGTTTTGTAGGGTGGAAGAATCCATGCTATTGTCAAGTTGTTCTTCTATTAGATGAACATGTAATTTTTATTTTTTTTGCAGCTCTGTTGTAGAGCAAAGCCGACGAAAGGATTTGGAATATCACAAGCCTGAGTATACTTTGTGGGAACGGTATGTAGATCAAGTACAAACTTTCTTGGCAAATAATCAATCTCCTCAATGTTGAAAAAAGATTTCAGGGATATTTTTTTATAATTTTTTCTCATTTTATGCTTATGTTTCAGGGTTATCAATGAGGAAAACACGAAAAATGCATAATAGTGGAAAATTAAAAGATCAAGGCTTTATAATAGTGAAAGCAAACAATCTATCACAAAACCAACATCATCAATGAAATTAAGTTAAGAAGAAGAAGAACGGTTTGTGAGTATATTAGATGGAAGAATAATATATGGGTTACTCTCTTTTAAAGCACGCACAGTCATAACTTTATTGGAGATGTAACTTATAGCGAGTGTTATATTAGCACTCATTACGTAAATTAATGATGTAACATGTTTAATTTGAAAAATAAGAGGGGGCATTTTATTTCTGCATTAGTAATTGCAGCACCTATATCACTATACGTTCTGCATTTATTAAATTATTTTTTGAAGAAAGATTTTTTAATATTCATTTTCTAAAATAATCAGTATATGGATAGTTTCTGAGAAGTGATTAGTTGTTATCTAAGTGACGTGACCTTTAGCTTTTCCATGACAAGCGCACCATCTTCGATGCAAATATAATTAAACCCTCCAATATTCTATAAATTTTCAAATTGGTGTGTTATTCTTCTCACTCTTTAGAGAATCTCGAAAACCAAGCTCCATAATTAAACATTAATTCTTCACACAAAATTGGCGGTGGAGACGTGATTTTCATTGGCAAGATGAGCGGTGACTTATTGTTTGAAGAAGCTTAAGTGGGAAATTATTATACCTATTAGTAAAAATTTCAATGTATATATTATGCCTATTGAGCTTAATTATTATATCAATTAGTAAACTTTTCAAATTTGAAATTGAAATAATTTGATAGGTGTGAAGTGAAAAGAATTTGAAGTTGGTATAGATGGGAAAAGAATTTAACATCTTTTAGTATGAGACAACTATATTAAATTTTCACTATTTTCTACATGGGAATTGTTAACCCTCATTTTAAAAAAAATTGAATACATTTTTTTCATATTTATCGAAAAACCAAAAAACCTA